TTACCAAACATTTTACGATGAAAATATTTACGATTGAATTTCACTTTCTACTGACATTTCTCCAGACCGGAATTACGTTCAGGGATAAAAATTGTTTTTACTCGCTAGGTGCTTATATTTTCAAAACGTGTTCGTATCAGCATTGCTTAAATTGTAATACTTTTATGTTATTTTTTCAGTTTTCTTACCTACAATAGTGCAAACTCGTTGTAGTAAAACTAACTTGCTTAGTTCGTCTCAAATATCTACTAAGTCGACATATTATTTTATAGTTTGCCCTAATCGAGGCTTCGAGGCGGTGGATTCTAGTGGTTTGTCCTTCAGACTTCAGAGCCCTTCTTGGGCTTGGTCGAATGGTTTTATACTAAACGTATACTGATGGATTAGGGAAAGAAGGTTTTCACTCAATTTTCGTCGTAAGTGATTTCGATGTTTCAAAAAGCTAACTGCGCGCAATAAGGCGGAACATGTGTTTTTTGTGGACAACTACTTGCTAGCCCCAAACAATAGATGTAGCACATGCCGCTAGTTTCAAAGTCAGACTTGCTGTCGCCTTGTTTGGCAATATCTACTTATTTGGCTAGAGCCAGCTTCGTTTAGGTCTCCCGAAAATGAGGAAAACCGGTCAAGAATTAGTGATAATTAGTTTTTACCAGTGACTTATTGTTGTTTTGGAGTGCACGCTCGTGCATGACCAGAATATCACAATGCCTCGTGTGTCTGCAATACCGTATAGGTTTCAAGCAGAATCGTTCCATTGTTTTTTGGTGCCTGCTTTGTACACCTCCGCGCGGATACTCAAAGTCAGCGTCTCAACTACAAGGCAACGTTACCCGAATCGAGAAGAGGGCGACGACCGAATGGCAGATTTTCGCTTGCTGTAACAATTGTAATAGATTGCATACTGGGGTCCCTACTTCGTTCTTCTTTCCTTTTGATTGAAATACAGCACCTCAAGTCAGCATTTGCCGTCGTGAGCATTTTCTGTTCTTTAGATTTCTGCCAGTACTCAGCAGTGGTGTTACATTTCCCTCGTCATTTTTTTGTCTCGGTCCTTTTCTCCGACTGTACCCACTTAGCTTAGACAAGGATGTAGTCTATCAGGCTTGCGGCAGAGATCAGGACAAGTTTAGTCGTACAATCAGTCGCAGCCGTAGCAGCAATCCGATTTAGCACAGCGACCTCCGTGACCGACTGAATGTCCCTACCCATCGCATCTGCTCCTTCCCTGGTTTTCTATCTACTGACATTCCTTTTCGGGCCATCATTATTGAAGGTGTCAGTACGCGAGGCATCGTGGCCTCGCCTCCGGACACCTTTAATTACGAAAACTATACTAAGAACAGCATAGTCCACAATTTTCTCGTTGGAGCCAGCCCAAGCTAGTTATCCAGCCTTTTTTGCTTTAGGCCGAGTAAACAGCGGGTTTGCTACTGGTCTGTGTTTTAGGCAAAAAGGAAATGTTGAAACGCTTTCGTTATTTGCATACGTTCCGAGTTGAACGGGAAAGACAGAGCGCGGGCGCGGCGATAAATGTACCGATTAGTTGAGCCGCTACCAGGCCCATAGCTTGGCTAGTCTAGATTCAACATAGTTTAACCTCTGATCCAGGCACCTCTTTTGCTTTAATTTGGTTCAGCCGATTAAAATCTTTAGCAGGGCTTCCATTGACTTCAACAGAGGCCTTTGTTTTCCTCTTTTATTTCTCATCGTCAAGAGACCTTAACGTTCTTTGCAAGCTCGGCCGACCCTTATTGCTAGAAAGACAACATCCGTCAATACACGTATCGAGATTACTATTACTGTTAATGAATGCCGATACTCATTTGCACCATCGCTACACAGTCGTTGTCCACGCTACCTTCTTCGACTTGTCCTTATACACAATTCGAATGGCGGTTTTCCCAACACTGCCATTAAAACAAGAAAAGACTTATAGTCAGATTCTACTGCTGTTAAAGTTCGCAGCGTATAGTCGCTAAATGCAATAAGATCATCATAGCTATCAGCCTCAACACCGTTTCTTTTTGCTGTCGATGGCGGCTAGATTAGTAATGTTGACAGGGAATGGGTGAAACAAAAGAGGGGGCAGGATACTAGCCATTTTTACTTTTTACTGCTTGTGCGCGAAGATGGCCAAAGTAAAGGCTTCCTGCAGTATCCATTATCTCTGCAATAACCCTTACTCCAGATCTGAACCCTGTCTCAAATGTATTAGAAGGCTGATAAAGCAGGAGCAGTGGGTTGGACCAGTGTTTATATATTTTTAAATTACTCTCTTTAAGGTTTACACCCAGTTAGACAGTACCTCTTCATATATGCGTAAGCTTGTGCTTGTCTCGCCTGTGCTCATGAGCCTGTCGCGGCAGTGGCGGTGTTGGCATCATCGACGTCTATATACCATCATCACTGAACGTCAACGAGCGAGCGAGAATGCACACTCTCGAGTTAAAGAAGAACTAGAGCGTCGGAGCCGAAGGAAGCTCTAAATTTTGAAAATGACGTTTCTGGCCAAGCCTCCGCACTGGCTGGGCGGCAGAGATGCCCTTAACTTGTTGGAAACCTATATTTGCTAGTGAGGGTACAGGGTTTGACTTGCTGAGATCCGTAGAGGTTATAACACATACTTCGCCTTATCTTGAGTAAACAATATCGATTCAGGGCGTAACGCGATGATGTTTGACAGAACACTGAAGTTGAGCTAGTAGCTGCAAATAAGAAGACCGGGCGTTAGCGGTAACCCAAGTCCTAAACTCTCCGATGGATGCTAGTGCGTAAAAGGAGGAATGAGCGAAGTGTTTAATAACGGCAGTTGGTGGGTACCGATGGGGTCCCTTCGTGTGTGCAGTTCTTCCCACTAAGATCGTATGCTTTGATTTCCAGCTACGTAGAGTCCTGCTTACTCAAGCAAGAAAGGCTGGTTCCGGCAAAAAATTCGAGGAACCAAACGAGAGACTTCACAATGGCGATTAATGATTCCTCTATGTGGCTTTTCATAGACGAGGGAGAGACTGCACAGTGCACCCGGTAGATGGATATAAAGTTCGTAACTTTCTGTCTAGATCTGAAGATTGTAAGATTTACCTTGCGTTATCGCACATCGCCTATGGAAAGCCAGCATTGCCACCAGTTATGCTGGGCATTCGCTGAGAAGCTGCGAGCTATATTTACTGCTTCAATAGAACACTGAGCGACAGAAGACCAAACGGAGGACGACGACTAGGAACACCGCGAGTTCATGTTTGAACGCCGTATAAAGGGTCAACAAAGCACTGGCAGTGATATGAGTGTAATAATAAGCTGTGGCCACTACGAGGATAGGCCTACAGACGACACTTTGCATCCTTGGCGAAGGAAATACGATGCGCTCTGTGTTGCCCTTGACGAAAAATAGAATGAAACGGCAAAAGATTACAGAGGGAATACGAGAGGTAAACTCCAGGGTGCAGATAACAAGGTTTAAGCCACTTTAGCCGCTAGGGGGTCCGTGTCTATAAATAACAAAAACTCTGAGTAAATTTAAACCAAAAATACATTTTTTCCAACCAGCCCGCTCATCTGGCGCTCGAATAAAGGATTTTTAACGGGAGTGAAAACCCGATTTTGTATAACTGGAATTTTATAGAGGGCTTTTAAAAACTACTTAAGATGGCATGCCTGCACATCGACCTAGTAGCCATTAAACCATCATTAAAATTGAATAAGTATAACGGCAACAATTATCACTGCTTAGTGGTAAGTCAAAGATAACTTTTGAATTAAATTTAAATAATACAGGTATTCAGCTATACGTCTCACAATATTATATCGTACATCACTACAGCAAGCACTATAGTTGACGGTCTGCAACGTCCTGCCTCATCGTTTAAGTTAGTAAAAATAGACCTATTGCACAATACAGGTCCTTAGACTATAGAGCGCATTATAGGCTATAAGGACAGCATTGGATCGTAGGCACTCATGCGATCTTTATGTAATTTCACTGTTAAATTATGGATGAGTGCTTATTCTAAGTGGAACCGCGTGGCAATTTTATTTTATGTAACTTAATGATCCGTTTAGGCTTCAGAGATAAAAAACGTGCCGCCGGCTCTTCCAAATGACTTACGTAATTGGTACAATTTAACAGGCTTAACGAAAGCTGGAATCAGGCTCAAAGCGGTAAGTTAGCAATTCATTTCTGCTGTACTTAAAACCTGCTATTTTAGTGGTTGAAAAAAGCGCAGAAACATAGATTATTATTATTAAAAACTGTAGTTTCCCCCGACTGTACGACAACAGCTTTAAGCAAAGGGTCTTTTTCTATAATATTCTTGTTTAATGCACATATATATCTGTAGATAAAATAACCACCAACATTTTTGTTAATCTCTCTGTTTTGTTCGAGGTGAAAGATGACCCACTTCCGTCTATTAAATTAAACTCAAAGACAGCCGTGCTTACAGACGGCTATTTCGCTGTCTCATAACATATGAAGTATAGACTATAGAGACCTAAAGATATAACTCGTCGGAATCGACATAAATGTCAATACCGTTTAGTATACGCTGGTGCTCGAGTGGACCCCACATTCTGAGACGGAGTGAATTTTCACGATAAGAACTTACGGACGAAATAGCTAAAGTATATCGTTTTGGAGATACGCCGCCACCTATGCTATCACAAGCATTTATTATACACAAATTACTTTAACTTTTTTTAGACTGACGGATATCTAGTTTCAATCAGTAAGTTCCCAATATTATCATTCCAACAGAACCGCAAGAGTTAACTGAATAGCTTGAAAAAAGGTTTATATATATATATATATATATATTACCCGCATTGTTAAACGGTTAAGTTAAACGTTGGCAATTTTCGTTTTGTTAACTTGTGTGCGTAAGTAAGAGATTTGAGGCTAGGCTGTGAATTGTTTCATTAAGTCCCTGGCGTGTCATACTTAGGATTATTAATTTATTGAAGTAATTATTAAACTATTCCGTATGTAGAGTTATACACACCTCATCCGCAAGATCAGGCGGGAGCATTCCTTTCTCGCAATGCTTAAGCAGTGCGTCCACTCCTAACCAATCTCCTCGTCTGGACATGTTCATTATTTTCACGCAAAGTTCCGCGTGGTCGGTCTGCCCGGCCCAAGTCGCTCCTGAAACGGATAACAATAATAGTAGTAAAAAATTTCCTTGTCATTTGTAGCACTTCCAACGGTCCTACCCGTTCCTTAATTTGCAAATGGATGAGCAATCAGGATGCTCTAGCATTTTTCGATACTGTTCATCGTTACATGAGGCACGGCATGGTCGTAAAATCGGTGGTCGGTTGACCTTTAGTAGGCTTAGAATCTATTCTTTATAATTTCAGTAATGAGAGTTAGTTACTGTTTTGTTGCATACTACACGGTTTGTATACATATAAAAGTTACATCTATCTATTTCTGGAGCAATCGCGTGGCCTTAAAATGCCTATCGACCGCCGCATAAGCAACATAGTGGCGAATATTTACTTGACGATATTTGGCTCGTCCAACATAGGAGTCCCGTCAATTCGAACTATACAAACTAAGCTTGTTTCTATAAAATGTATTTTTCGACCGCTCACCAACTGATGTATACATGGCCAAAAATAATTGTTTTTTCATAAAAACAGCATTCGGTGTTTTCTAATCCCATGTGACCTATCGGTGTTGTATCTTATCCACGGTTGCAACAATACCATCGATTGACTGTTTAACGCGCTTTCACCGCAATGAGAAGTATACGAAACAAATAGGTATATTGGCTTCTCATATATTGCAAACAGTTTTCATATATTTAGGCTCTCTATTAGGTAAGACCTATAAGTGCACGCGCACGCGCTCATAAAGGTATCGTATCTACGAGGTGCATAGTGAATTCGTTTCTTCGTTGGCATATGTTTAGCATTGATGATTTTAATCTGCAGCTTTCTTAGATATTTTCCTCTTCGGTATTCAGTACTATTTTCAATACGCTAGGCGGGATTTATGCTGGCATGGGGTTCTATTTGATCGCGGCACTGAAAGGCTAGCATCATATCGCTGCCCTAGCAACCTAGGATTTACTCATTACAACACTCCTGAGTTCGATGTCCATATATAAAGGCGCACGCACTCACGCGCACGACCTATATTAACAGTAATAACAACAGCAAAAACTAGTCAACGCAGGAGAGGCTTGTGGATACAATCAGCTGGGAAGAATAGGTGCGCAAGAAGAGAAGAGGGAAGGCGATTCCTTCGCAGGATACCGCTGTTTTAAATATCGAAAAATGTTTGAATTCCATTCGTATAGCGACTTCAGCAGCAGCAGCATGCTTAGCATTAATCGCAATAATGCCGATACGACATCAGCGGATGTGAAGTCCGCTGAATTCCAGAATACGGGTCGGAATAGAGAATAGCAGTACTTGATTGCTATACTGTGTGATAATGATGGCTTGGGTCGCCGTAATAACGTCCGCCCCGTTGCCAATCGGCGCTAGTAAATTAATTGCCGATGATTTCTTCAAAATCTATTTTAGAAATTTGTAAAAAAAATTATATTGGTATGGCCAAATATTCGTTTTTATAAGCATATATTTCAGATTAACTTACAGCTAGAAAATAACTCGTAACTCATGCGACGTATCTTCTAAATGTACATGTAATCAAGTGGAAATCAAGATAAAAGGGTACAAGTATGGCCGTGAGCGATGTTTTAGGGCAGATGCGGCAAAATCTTGCTTCGTGTCTTATGGTGTGAATTTTACAGTTTCCTATAGTTAAAAGGCTATTCTCAGATGAGTAGGGGGGCAATAGGGGTCATTAAACCTTATAAAAAATTGTAGGTCATTTCCTAATGTCCGATATATGATCTGTTTGATCAAATTCTATCAGCTAAGCATGTGCGCGTTGGATCTTAGCAGCCGTATAATTAATGTGCCCAAAGCCATTACGGAACATGCAATCATCCCGCTTTCAACATAGGATTTATTAGAATAAATCCTGTATTGCCGCAGCACACAGCTTGTATGATAAAAGATTAATAGGAACGGCAAAAGGCAGGCTGATAGCAGTGAGGTAACGGTAAGTTAACAGCTGGGGTAGTGTAGAAAGTTCTACCCGGAAACAAGCAGATGCCGTATCTCTTTCATCCATCACCTTACTGTTTTCCTACCGAGAACTTCGCCTTTTAAACTGTGCCATTGTTTTCCTCTCATGTATAGTACCAACGTTCGTCTTTGTTTCGTCTCAACACTAGATACCCATTAAAACGCCTTCATACCTATAGCCATCGCATTTCATCTAATATCTCGAAGAGAACTAGTACAGAGAATTGTTGTATAGCAGACGCTACTACAGCAAGTGAGCAGCTCAGAATTTCAACGTAAAGCACCCAAACAACAGGTGCACGTCACCCAGCCAGGACCGCTTGAAGTGTATAAGTAAAAAAAAAAAACTGTGTCCCCTTTTTCTGTTTGCTGCAATGCTATTTTCGTCGCGGAGGATACCAATGGTTGACCCAAAGTACCCCAAGGGAGGTATGTTCCGCCTAGTCTAAACTCTACCACCTCTGCTTTTTCGGTCCACTCTTCCACTTCTGCGGTTGTCACTCGCTGTTCCGACAGCAAAGCAGAACTACTTACAAGCTGTTTTACTTTTGTTTTCTTCCGGATTACTATTTTTCATTGTTCCCTGTTGTTTTCGCTTCGGTCTTCTGATATGATTTGAGACCCCTGCTGGAGCGCAGGGGAATTTACCTTATTTCATAGACTGTCAGAGTAAAGCAAAGTCTGTCTTACTCGCGTAGACCATGTATTTCTGAAGGTCCCTCGTTCAAGGAACGTTTTAGTATAGATGTACGTACCAAATTATCATTCATTACAGCAATCTATTACAAAAACATGTTCTCACTTCCCCTAATTGTAGAAACCTCTATTTATACACATTAAACGTTAGCGCTTTGTCCGACTCAACAACAACTATATGTAAGGCCAACAAACGTTGTGTAACCTTGTATCTCATGGTATAACATGGATTTCGCACCAAACCTGCTGTAGCCAGCTGAGCGATATTAATTATAAGAGAGAAACGGGGGATTTCATCTACCATCGATCGTATAAATTTAAGGTAAAATTTATGCATTTTTATGCCCTCTTCCGTGTATGGTAGAAAAGACCACTATAGAACTAAAACAAAAGTTGTCCAGATGTTCTGGATCTGATCAACGTAAGCTGCAGATAAACCGAAGGTAAACAAAGTAACTAGCACTTAGTCAAAAACAAGGTCCTGACCATACACCTAATAAACACTATCCTACCTTGTATCTTATTTAGCACAATAGAAAAAGGTGAAGACAATCCAAATTTGAATAAAATCAAAGTAGTATTTCTATTTATATTTCAGTCGATCATCTAAATTTTTGTTTCGACTTGCATTTGTCTTGAAGAATTTCTGTTTCTATTGATTCATCGATAGACCGAACACGAAACTTGTAATAATAAAAAATCTAAAGCAAGTCTTTCGCCTTCCTTCAAAAATTCGATTTGTACAAAGACAAATAAAGCCAATTATTAAGTGTTATTTTTTCCTCGCGTAAACTTTCACAATAAACACAGAAACACTGAAAAATAGTACTGGTCACTACGGTTTAGTTACATTTCAACTTCGTTGCTATCAGCGTAACGGCTGGCACCGCGAAGCGTCACTTCATTGACTATATAGTTCTATTTACGATTAGGGATCCTGAAAAGGATGTACCCCGAAAACATCATGCGAGTGGTATGGTATATTCTAGGCGGCTTTAATTTTGACAACATGAAGCTTTACATACGGTAACACAAGTGATGATAGTACATCACGATGTGCCGAAATGTTCTCTTCTATTTTACACAGTACAATGTCCATTCCGCTGGTCGAGCTGTGCTTGAGGCTGTGCATAGTTAACCTAAACCATTGTTGTTTGGGATGGGATTTATACAGCGACAGTCGCTTAATCCCCTACGGAACGCAATCAGCTCTGTACCGCCATCTACCACTGCCATCCGTATGAAGCACGAACCGATCACAAAAATAGTACCAGACCAGGTTGCTAAATGACGTTATGTGGCCGAAAGTGTGCATCCTGTGTGGTGTTGCGTACTGTAAATGGGCCTCCAGCTAGAAAGAATAGGTCCCTCGTTTGGCGCGCACTTCTGCAAACGCTACATAGATTTGCATTGATGTTTGCCGCAGTAAAATGTTACAGTCAAATGAGGTAGGGCAAAGGTAGTAAGTCACTAAACCGACTGGAAATAGAAAGCTGAACTTAAAAGCTTGCATGGGTTACGTTTATTTGTTTAAGCAGAAGTTTCCAGTGATTCGGAAAATTTGCTAAAACATATTTTTATATAAAATGCACATATATACACTACATTGAAAAGACGTTTTGCAGCGACATTTTAATCTGGTTCCTGAAAATGCCATACGCGCCTAAATTTTTTACACCTTAATTGGATTAAGGATATTTTGTTTTCAGACGCTACTTAAAGAAATTTCTTGTAGTGTGTCGTAAAGACGCAAGTCCGTGACGATTACATGAGATAAGCCAACATATGATAAGTAAACACAGATCGCCAAAAGGGTGTACAAGCTAGGCAAATATTTTTCAGTCAAACGGTAGACAGTCACTGAGCTCTATAAGACACACACCATTGTTCATCCAAAAACTCTCGAAGCCTTCTTCGATAGGAAGGTGCTTCCTTGACATGATAAGCCCCTTTGATCACCTCGAAGGTTATCCACGTGAATTTTGCCGAAATAGAAGTCATGCAGCTTATACCTATCTACTACGACATATGAAAGTAATTAATATTTACTACGCAACTTGTTTTACGAGCCCTTTAACTATTGCTTCTGCAAGAAATACTTTGTCTACAGTTAAAATGGAACATTAATTAGTGTGTATCGAATACAATCTGGATGACTGAAGACACAGATCCGTGTTTTGGTAGACATCTGGCCGACTTCGGTTAGTGGATAAAAAAAAAAAGTCTATAACCGTTCTGAATTACCATCGTATCGTATGCATCCGCGGCTATTATAGAGGCTCAGTTTTTTTTTCGCGCAACACAATTCGATGTAAGAAAAGGTCGCTCTTTTCTGCAACGAGAGCGCAAAGAGAAGCAGACGTCCTTGCGTCTGTGTTTTTGATCATCGCTCAAAGTATGGAGAACCCATTTGTCTAACTTAAGACTTTCTCAATTTGATCGAAATCGATAAGCATGCTATACTTGCGTACACCTAAAACTAAACGCTAACATCTGTGCACTTTGAGGTGGGTCAACTTCCACCACAGCTCTCAATTTTTCTTAATTGACCTTCGAAGGGATCCTCCGCGAGACCTCTTTTCAACTTCAAAGTTTTATTCTCAGATTTTCTGAACCAACAGGTTATGCAGTGTTAAGCAGTGGCACCTTTTGCGAATGCAAATGTTCTATTGATTTTTTTAATTTTATTTCTACTACTCTAATTGGCTTTGCCGCCATAGCTTCAAGATACTTTCAACAAACACTTAGCATTTTTGATTATCTATTAAATACAACTTATTTGACAGAAGCGCAAGTGACGATGTCTCAAATTGGATGGTCCCAAATTTCAAAGGGTACACGTGCGTCTTCGTGGCGATACTGTGAAAAAAGCTGGGCGACAGGTACTCGACAAGCCGCAAGTTAATGTTACCAATGATTAGAGAATATGGCATGTAACGATCTGTGTCTGTCATGCTCACCTTAAAAAAAGTCGTGCAAGAATAGAGATTTTTGCCAATGATAAACACTTATCTTTTTTTTTTTTATTTATAGAATTTTGTTAAGCATATCTCTCAGTGAGAAAAGGTATAACAACTTAAGCAAAGTGGTCGACCTCTCATGCGTGTGAGCATTCAGTGATAAAATATAGGGAGGACTGCTAGTTCTTACAACTTTTATGATATATTTGGGGGGGGGGGGGGGTACAACAGAAATAAATAAAGCATATAGTACAAAGCACCATTCAGGCATCCTTCATTATAACATTTGCTATAACATTGTTTTCAATAAACATTCAAAAATATAATTAGGCGACAACTTACGACAGCTAGCATCCATACTATATCGTTATTTATTTTCCAACCCAGAATGGGTGGGTATTTACACGGATTTACCGTAAATCTTGTTTTCGGACCGCGTCGTTTGTTGTGACTTAAAACCAGGGTAATAGATTCTCTCTGTGTCGTTCCTACCACGTACAGTAGCTTATATTTATTAATAGGATAATCCTACGTCGTGCATGTGTTCCTTTTTTTCTCCAGATCAGGGGAACGAAGGTGAGGAGGCATTTAAGCTGTATCGGTTTCTTCGTCCTGTTACTGCAGGACCAGCCTTCTTGATGACTGCTCTAATATACTTGTATCCTGAAGGTTGACCCTTGTGCGTTCTTCTTACATCGGTTTCTCTTTCCAAGTATCGAATGACGACACAAATGGATAGATGATGGTGTTATTGCTGATTTTCATATTCTCAGGCTTCTTCAACTCTCTATCGCAGATCTTCGATTAATGATGAAGCCCCATTTTTTGTCCCTTTATTACATACGGTCTCGGATATATGTATTTGTTTGCAGATAGTGAACCGAAATTCCGCGCAGTAATTATTATTGTCTAAATAATAATAATTATTATTTTCGTTGGAAAACTTTAATTCTTAGTCAACTACTACCTATAAAAGCAATATGGACAGTTTACGTAATAGTTGGTACATAATCGTGTAAAGTATCGTGGTATTCGATGAACCTAACTCGACTTCGGTACGAAGATGCGCGCAACGGTGGTTTGGTCTGCTATTGTAACTGCCTACTAGTTACTGCAGACACCTATTTTAAAGACCCATGCATTTCTTCCACGAGATCGCTTTATTTACAAATTTGAATCTATGATGCATGAAGAACACCCTCATGTGCCCAGAAAAAGATATTCGTACAAACGCTAGTAATGATCACATTTAGGCCTGAACCACCATGAATCGCTAACGTAGCCTTGCGTAATCTCGAGAGCCAAAAACAAGGCACGAAACAACACAAAAAATATCAAAGGAAAACATCGAATACACACGTTTTCTATGCGATTAGAGGATCTGATTTATTGAATTGCTTGAGGAATACTAATCTCCGAATTTATGAAGTTCGCTTTACCTTAGGAACGAACAGAGTGGTAACTCTTCGTATGTTGTTATCTCTATTCTCAAAGTGACGTACTAGAATCTACATAAACGACACCTTGCAAAGCTGCCGATAAAAAAGACACCGACCTTTCTGCGACATTTTGGCCAGTTCTTTTTCCTTCTTTTCGCGTTCTTCAGGGGACAAGTTGGCGAATGGATCCTCCTCAGGTTCGTCTTCGTTTTCATCTTTCTTCTTTCGTTTCTTACGACGTTTCTTAACCGGGCCATCTGGTCCGGGTTCACTCTCTTCGCCTTCTGCAAGGTCAAAAAATAGGCCAGCATCGCTAAACAAATATCCGCTGACCATATATTGTCATTTTTACACTGAATTTTCGTATCAACGTCATTTTTTCTATTTTTGCTTTTGTGCCTGCTTTCATCCGTTCGAAATATAAAGCGGACGTTGCCGTAACTGTCATATTACTGGTTGTTAAAGACAAGAAGGTCTTGTGCTACCTTTCTATGCTATGGATTCTGTCTCTTACCGTCGTCTTCGTCGTCAGTTTCGTCGTCATCGGATGATTCTGTTTCCTCCTCGTCCTTCTTATCTATTTCAGCTCGTGCCATTTGGTATTCGTGATTCTCCACTATCTCGCTAACAATCTGCAACAAACCCAATGGAAAGAGTCGTAATATCTCATTTAACTTTCTCAGCTGATATCCATCTCGCTTCCATTGACGCATCAATTACTATTTAGTAATAACCATAGCTTCGTGAACTATATTAACTAGCTCACACTGCCATGGTTTAAGTGATAAACATTTTGCAAAAACATGTGACACAGGTATGGTTTTAAATAAGTCAGTGGGCCAATATTGGCAGTATACGGAGGCAGGAAGGCAGGTAGAAATGCTCAGGCAGAATCGAATTGAAACATCGGTTGTCTGCGATGGCTCCGGGTGAGAGATGCAGGTGGGCTTTGTTTTATTTCCGATGTACCATAGGGAAGCTGCGAAGTCAAACCCTCTAAAATGTATTGTTTTAAGACACCCGATTTCTGAGCTGTTTTATAGCAACTTTGTCGCTTATGGCAGAGATACCGATCGATCTTTGTAACCAACCGCTGTTATAAGTACAATTTATTTTATAAGTGCAAGTTAAAGAACGCAAGTGCCATATCTTACCCAAAGTGTGTTTATTGGCGTTTATACAAACCATCCCAGAACCGACCCAAATCAACAAAGGTCGAAGCTCGATTCTGGTACCTGAGTGTTGCTGATGCTTGTTTTTCGGGCCAGAACGTACGTCCGAAGTTAGTTAGATTTATAAACTCAACATGCGATATGTAATCAAAAACGGCTCCAGACATTAAACGCACTTCAGAAGACATTCTTTGGCTAAACAGAGGACACGTAAATAATCGGCTTCAGATGGCAGTGTTCTCCCAGCGAGCGTCTATATTTGTGTCGGTGCTTATTGGTGCGCCAATACTTAAATAAATATTTCATAAGTTATGTTCGGTACTGCTGCTAAGCATTGCTTCATCGAATGGATTCCACGACGAGACTAAGTGTATTCATGCCATACTTCAAGCCTAAATCACTTCACCCATCCCTAACAAACACCATACATTGATGTCCACATGTATTCCATCCAACACTTTCCCCAATCCTTTCGGCTTAATAGTAAACATTCTCTTAGTTTTTATCGTAGTCGAGTATGCTGTATTTTTTGTTTCTTTTATTGCGCAATACATGTACAGAGGCAAGTCATAAAGGTCTCACGAGCTATTGAGGCTACAGCAAGTCTGTTCTCTTCCTTTGGCCTATGATTATGCTATGTAGTCATAGCACGGTACTGCCTGCTACATCGAGCCTGAATTTCTTTGTGCCCGTTTTTTTTCTCAGACGAACTGTAGCCCCAACTATTAGATTGCTTTATATTTCTCCTCCAGAGTCCTAGGAGATTCGCGCTTCAAAATTTGACCCATCACGCGCCCGTTATGAAAAAGTTGTATAGATGATTCTACAGAACAGTCTATTTGGTAAATAAGATACCGTTCAATTGCCTAATACTGAATCATTTGTATATTCGGGGAATTTTTTTCTAAGTAGCTTGTTTTATATCGAGTCTTATTATGTGGGTGTGGACAGTATGATTGCGGCTGTCGGTTCAACATGACTGATGGGATATAATATACAAGAAGGTTTTTTTATCGTTTTTAAATCAAAATTAACGCAAGTGACAATGACTCTGCACTGACGGTGAATACTGAGGACTTACTCACTTTTTTAATGCACGAAAAAGGAAGCGCCAAAATTAAACCAATTATTTAATAATCAGCGGTCATTTTAACCCACCTTACTTATGAAGTCAATCTTCATTTCTTGGCGATCCATCGCTATGGTTCCACTAATAGCTGTAAATGTGTTTGGCTGAAGACTGAGGCTTTAAACCACTAAATATCGTTGATAGCTCGGTTGCGTTCTTCTCTTTCGTTCACGGAAGCGGTCTTGGAACAGTGCTTATAAGATGAACTTCGAACAACTAACTGAACATTCAATTTTCGCGGCTTAAACCCACAAATAATCGGGGCAGGTGACCTATTCATAAACTTCGTAGCCGATGTGCTCGAGCGAAGATTTGTTCGTTGGCTATCTGCTTTCAACGTAACTCTTAACGTCGAAGTGTCTCAAGGTAAAACAGTGCTAGCAGGAAAAGCAGACAACTCACGAGATGGACGCTTGGTTTTAGCCGAGAACGCCGACTGTGTAGTAGACGCCGTTGGTTACTAAAGCTGCATTTGCTAGATGAGACCGCACGCATGGCTAGCCACAGGTTCAGCGCTCGCCATTGGAGCTCAGCCACCGTGAAGCCATCGCTTGGAGCGCGCAGGCTACCCGACGTGTTCTTGTTAATAGGTGATCCAACACGAAGAAGCACCGTGTAACAACGTTTATTTTTTTTTTTTTTGAATGCACCCATCTAAACCTAGGTTTAGCGACTGCACAATACAACACAGCGACAAACAGGAGAGGAAAACGGACTCACCCTTGAAACGTTCGTCGATCATGTTTGCTGTTGGTAGGTACAGTAGAGTCTACGAATTCGCCGATAATGGAATCGCCTACGCCTAATTATTTGCAGGAAGCGCAGCAGTTGGCAGAAATTTTGTGGTACCTTAAAGGGATTCACGATCCCGGTTACCTACGATGATGATGATGACGACGACAGTCACCACAAAAATAATGCGCGGCCAAGGGAACAACTGTCATTATAGTGGGTACGATTATATTGGACTCAAACACAGACCGTAACAAACACGCTTATAAAACCTATACAGTCGCTGCCAGGTTCTTTGGTCGAGGTATCAAAATTACGACAGCCCTAGTATTGCGGTCCTCCCTATCCGGTAGCCTTCGATAGATAAAAAAAAACAACTGCGTTGCAATTGCTTTGTGTCCCGTCTGATGTGCCCACTACTCAGTAGCCTTTTGAGCGTCGTTTCGGGATATGACGTGTGCTAAGACTGACTGGTCTTTCGAAAGTAGACGTGACCACCGAGGATGAATCATCCTTGCTTTAGCCAGTTTCGCGCAAAAATGACCTATTAAAGGACCGAATATATCGAAGTAGCTCTGAATATGAAAATTTGTCTGTGCTAAAATAAGCAAAACATCGAATTACATTAGAGGAAATAATTCCTAAAAACTAATTGGCTCGTAGCTCGTTCACAGGAAGCAATTATAAAGCCATAACTTGTAACCGATTAGGTTCCCCAGTTCTCTACATCAGCCCTTACGCACTTTAACCCCCTTAGAAATTTTGCAGCGCTACTACTGTTAGAAATGAAGAATTGTATAAGTAATTTCTTTTAAATAAACTTTTAAGCGTTCATTTCAATAACAGACGACGTGAACAGCTAAATATAATCCATGATGGTGAACGCAAACGATTAGACAAATTGTCAATCACTCGTTGCCGATAATTGACGAATAATAAATGAAAAAAAGGACTCAATTCGACCTTCAGTAGCCAATACAGGTTACTACTAAATTTCGGTAGCGCTTGTATGCTTTTGAATACCATGCGTACTAACGTAGAAATTACCTGATTGAGTGAGATTGGTAAGAGCTTTACCTAATTTGAGCACCATTGTTATTTACGCTTACGATGGCCTGCCTCTGTTTCGGTAATAGTAAACAGACTATAACCTAAACCATTTTGTAGCGTTTTCAAGTGACCTGCGATCATAACGGTATGGCGGTTTCGCTGGCTCTAGGAAGGTAGGCGATAGTTCTGAGGTAATTTCGAGCACTTGAATATTACATGTGTGATTGGTTTCCTGATCTGTATCAGATGTCTGATAAAATAGTTGTGAGTTTTCTAGCTTGTTCGAGGTCGAACAAGGGTATGAGTTTTAGTTGTAAGAGGTTGGCATAGTTCGAACCTACCATTTTTCATGTCTGTGCGTGGGGATGCTGTTATGGCTTCGATTACTCATTCCACACTAGCGTAGGTGCTTGAAAGTTATCTGCGTTACTATTCGCGACTACTACCTGCATTCTAACGTAGCGGCACGCGTCCCGGTTGCAGCTAGGAACACCGCAGTGAACACGGTCTCTTGCTTGCCCGCTTAGCTTCTAGTACAAACTCATTAACACTCATATATTTGTTGGTGTCGAAGCGGCCGTAAATCGTTGCCTAGACAACATTCAGTACTTTTATGATTTATTCAACAGATCTATGAGCCCGTCGGACCCGTATTTGATTGGTCGGCCTAGTACTACTCATATTGAGTTAAGGTTAAGGTTAAGCTAACCAAGCAATCACCTTAGTCCACCACGGGATCAGACGATGGAGCTTCCATACAACTCAATACACCTGTACGGAGCCGATTAGGTACTCCGAGAAATAATCGAATTCGGCTACGAAATATATTTATTTCAGATGAAAATCATATCGACACTCGATACGAGCCGTCCAACGGGGATGCTATGGACTATAGAGTTTGGTCTAGTCAATTTCACAACTGGATATATCCTTCATGGCCTGTCGTGACAGATTCGGAGAAGTCATTCGAGAACCTGCCTACAGGCCTAACGCGGTTGTTCAGCGTTAACAATTTTACCTGCTGTGGTGGACTTGATCTCCTTCACAAAAACTAGGGCCGTACCTGTTTGGAAGGGCGACGCACATCGACGAAGGTCACGTGAACACTAACGGTGCACTTCACATCAGTGTCCTGAGGACTTTAGGACAACTGGTGAATTACCTGCAGTCTTCGATGTTTCCATGCATTGATAGTCCCGAATAAGCGTCCACAAACGAGCCTGCTATCTCGTTGAGTGCTTTTAGCACCATCATTCCCGAAGTTAAGGGAAATCTGGGTTGCGCTAGATACATCACAGGCACACATCCTAGCGGCAATCAAGTTAGTGGCCGTCCAGCAACCGATCTCAATGGTGAGGCCTTTACACAGCGCATCAAACGAATGCTCACCTTGTTTGTGTCAGTGGGCAGATATGCGAGCTTCTTATGTAAAAGACGCATATGCTACTGGCATAATACATAGATGGTCAAAAAAAAAAATGCCAGGCAGTATTCATTTCCGCCAAGTTCATTGCGTTTTTATTAGAAGCCTCAACGTTGGTCGCTGCAG